GTTTTAATACATTTAAATATAGTTGAAGTATTAAAATGAAAAAAGCTAATAAGAAAATAAAGTTTTAAGTTGAAGTTCTTAAACCGAAGTAAAAATAAAGCTAAACAGAAAGAAACATGAAAAAGCAAAACAAAGATTATGAACACAAAATGACTAAACCTTGAACGATAATTAAAATGAAAACTGAAAATATTAAAATGATAAAAAAAAAGAATAATAAATATCATGATAGTATATAATTAATACTAAAATAACATTCACGTCATCCTTAAAGTCCCCATGAAATCAAAATGGACTTTATTTACTGTATTAGCGCACATTGCTAGTCTTTATGTGAACAATTACTCCATGCAAGTTAATCCGCTGAAAAAAAAAATCTTGGTAATCAAAATCTGATCATTTGCTTCCGCTCTGGAATGGCATTCCTTTTCTGATGACATCAGTTTGACGGCTTGGGCAAAATATCCTCAATCACACCCCTCCAACCATTAGGTTGCTATGAGAGGAGGAGCGCAAAAATAAAACCATGCCCTCTATTCAATATTCCGTTTCAGCTGGAAATACGTCACTACACTGAAATAAAGTCGGCAGCAACTTCCGGTTTACGCGGACTTTAATACCAAAACAAATCCCTCGAATAAATGCACAACTGATAAATCCTAATCCTAATCTGGTTAATTCCCACTCATCTACTTTTCAGCCAATCAGCTACAACTACTGGATGAAAGCTCTGCCAGCTGATTAATATTTATGAACCAGGCTGATTTATAATGTGTCCAATTTCAGTTCATTCCTACACCCCTGATTTTATTCATCAAGATTTAACTGGATTGTGAAAAGTTGGCAGAACTTGGCACATTATGCGCAGATGAACTGTGCACAGTAAGGCCAGGGATGTGTATTAAGAAACTAAGCAAATGAGGTCAGCGTTGATTTCATGTTGACTTTAAGGCAGCACACAGTCACCATTAAATGGAAACGGTACAATCCTATGAAGAAAACTCAAAGGGTGATCATAAATCCAGTGTCAGCTAAATACTTTAAAAAGGCCTTTTTCCTTCCTAAGAGCTGCTGGCTTCATTACTGTGCATAGGGGCCCTTTACGCCTTTGATCTACAGCACAATGAATCTGAATTACAAATATCCAATGGTATGAGCTAACAAAGAATAAAGTAAAATCACCCCAGAAACGATCGATCAAAGCTCCAGTAACAGTGCGTTTGACAATACAATGTGCTGCAGATTGTACCGCGCAGATCAGTTATTATGACTGAGAGTCACATTTTGGGTTGAAACGAAGACTATTACACACAGAATTCAGAGAAATGTTGCTGAAGACCCACTTAATGTGAATATTAAAGTCAGTTCACTTCTAGAAATTGTTTTGATGGCCTTGTCTAAGATTGTCTTTTCAAATTTAATGAATTTGAGAAGTCAACAAAACATTTTTATAGACATGGTTAAGCAGCATTGACTTCGCACAATGCCTTTCTGTAGTCTGGCACTAAACTAGTCCATGATTCAATGGATACTGACACTTCAGTACTTCATTTTTAGGAAAATAAAGCGGTAATATGTTTTATGGAATAACAATGTCTGCAATCGCACCAAAGTTCATTGCTTCAATCTGTTTCACTCAGAAGCCTTGTGTACTCTGCTAATGTAGTATAAAATGCTTTCAATAAATTCAAGTCATCACATTAACCATCAAATAGACCTGGCAGCCTTAATATATTCTTAATATCTCACCCCAAAATGACGTTCTCTCATTATTTACCCATTATTTGTCATTATTTTCATGTTGTTCCAAACCCTGACTTCTTTCTGCTTAACAAAAGAAGAATCTTTGAAATCTTTCATGTAGCTCTTGAACATAATGATAATTGATAAAACTGTCAAGGTCCATAAATGTTTCATGAATGAAAATAACAGCATATGAGTTTGGAACGACATGATGACTAGTAAATAGTGAACTGATCCTATATAAAAAATTCATTATATGCTGGAATGTGTATTTAAACTGTTGTGTATAATTTACAAGTAGTATATTGATGTACCCGCTAGCGCTTGGCCTGTCCCAGTCATCCACACCGAGTCCAAAGTCCGGCAGGATGTTGTTCCTCTGCCGGCTGCTGTTCACCGGGGAGAGGCTGCCCCGGCCGGGCTTGGCATTCCTCCACTCATGGCTGTGGAAACTGTAGCCCGATGCCTGGAAACCTGTGGGAGCTGAAACAAACACACACAAGCAGAGTCCAAAATGAATCTTTTGTTACTTCTGCCAATAGTGGGTGAATTGAGAAAATGCACTAGCCATAAATATTTCTTATTCGCCATGAAACTGTATTTTGCATTTTAATATACTAATACATTTATTGTATTTGCAAAAAAAAAAAAAAAAAAATAC